TTAATTTTTTCGAACAAGTGTCTTTCGAACAAGTGTCTTCGAACAAATGTCTTTCGAACAAGTGTCTTTTCGAACAAGTGTCTTTCGAACAAGTGTCTTTCGAACAAATGTTTTTCGAACAAGTGTCTTTCGAACAAGTGTCATAGACCCACTGTATTAATATTGTATTGTAATGATGGTATAATTAGTTTGTTTATCAATTATGCTGTCATAAATTATGACTCATAATCAATTATTAAAAACAGTTATAATGATAATAGTCAAAGATGCAAGTAGGAATTTATAATTCCAATAATAAAGTACTTACAATTAGATTTGAGCTTTAAATATTAAATATTTTCGTATTTAGCTTGATGACAAAATTTAATAATTTTATTTAATTATAAAATCATAATAAACTTTTTAATAATTAAAATATTGACCTGTTCATTACTTGATATAACCAGGAAAGATCGCAACACACACGACTATATGACTATACGACCCTTTGTATACGACTACATAATATGAACCCGAAAAATAATATGGTGAGATAATTCACAAATGTCAAATCAATGCGGGTGATAAATCACCAATCTCAAACCAATCAAATGCGCACACCAGAAATATTTAACATTTGATTATCAATTATCAGTTATAATAAGTGAATTGACTTTTAAACAATCATTTTGTGTTGTGATAACAACATAAGTATAAATAGCAATAAAAGTTTACTGCATTTAACTAATTATTACTAAACAAAAGTTTAAGTTTATCTAGTTATATCTAATTTAAAAATAATTAATTAATGGCAAAACAATACGGCCCGACAGACATCAAGGCGTCGGCCATAGAGTTGATTGGAAACACGCCTATGGTTGCGTTGGACCGGATATGGCCCGGACCGGGACGAATACTAGTAAAGTGCGAGTTCATGAACCCCGGGGGCAGTATAAAAGACAGGGCGGCTCTGGGCATGATATCGGGGGCGCTCGCCAACGGACAGCTTAAACCCAACGGGCCTATCGTCGAGATGACCAGCGGTAACACCGGCGCCGGTCTGGCCGTCATAGCGGCCGTTATGGGACACCCATTGACGCTTACAATGAGTGCCGGCTGTAGCGCTCAGCGGGCGGTTATGATGCGGGCGTTGGGCGCCAACCTAATGCTGGCCCCACAGGTAGAGGGCTCGCCGGGCAAAGTGAGTTGGCTAGACGTGTGTGAAGCATTGCGATTGGCTGAACGCGTGTCCGACGAGCAAGGTGCTTACTACGTGGACCAGTTTAATAATGTGGGAAATACTAGAGGGCACGTGGAGACCACTGGGCCCGAGATATGGCGCCAGACGGGCGGTCGAGTGGACGCATTTGTAGCCCATGTGGGCTCTGCCGGTGCCTATACTGGAGTTTCGCAGTATTTGAAAAGCCAGAGCCCGGATGTTAAGTGTTTTGTGGGCGAACCGGCCGGCGCTGAGGCCGTGAAGGGTTTGCCGGTTACCAAACCCATCCATATGCTGATGGGGTCGGGCTTTGGGAAGATTGTGCCGCTTTTCAGTTACGACACAATGGATGGGACGGTGAGTGTGACGGACGAGGAGGCCGTCAAATACAAGAAACTGTTGGCCCGTAAAGAGGGTCTGTATGTGGGCTATACGTCGGGCGCTAATGTGGCCGCAGCTGTCAAGCTGTTTGAGTCGGGTCAAGTGCCCGCTGATGCCTGGGTGGTCACTCTACTCAATGATACGGGACTTAAATATCCAGAGTAATTGCTTGAATTTATTTATTTTCTTGATAAGTTATATGAATATTTGTTTTTATAACCATTAAAAATACTTTATTATTATTATAATATTTATATTATATTTTAATAATTGTTAGTCAAACACATTTATTATTAAATAAGTTTGTAATTAAATATTTTATAATAATATATTTTTATACTTTACCATATTAAATAATTAATTCACAATAAAAATAATTTAAATAATTATTGTTTTAAGATAATGACATTTTAAACATTAAATTTATATATAATTTTATCATGTGATAAGTCATACAATTTACACATTTATGAATTACAATTAAATGTCTAATTTACTTTATAATTAATTGAAAAAATATTTAAAAAAATAATATTTAAAATTACACATAAATTACAAATGAAAAGTATAAATACAAAATTAATTTAATTTATGTTTAAAACATTTTATTATAAAATATAAACTACACTTAACTTAAGATATAAACTAAAAAAGTTATAATTTATAACAAATACTTCATTTATTGCAGTCATAATCAATGGCCAAAACAAACTACGAGACAGACATCAAAGAGTCGGCTCTGGAACTGATCGGAAACACACCAATGGTTGCATTGGACCGGCTATGGCCCGGACCGGGACGTATACTCGCAAAGTGCGAGTTCATGAACCCCGGGGCCAGTATTAAGGA